ATTCATATTACATATGTAAAGCATAATTTTTCATATGTCTCCTTGTACACAAAGTATATTCACATCATTCATGTCTGCTTCATACACGTACTTAGAGTAGTGATGTCCATCTCATTCCACCATCTTTCTTTTACCCCCTTTTCCCTTCCCTTCTCTCCCTCTCCTCCCTCCCCTTTGCCCTATCTAGAGTTTGTCTAATCTTCCCCTTCTCCCCTTCCCAACCCCACTATGAATCAGTCTTTTTATATTAGAGAAAACATTTGGCATTTGTTTTTTGGGGATTAACTGACTTCACTTAGCATTATCTTCTCCACCTCCATCCATTTTCCTGTAGTCGCCATGATTTTATTCTCTTTTGTTGCTGAATAATATTCCATTGTGTATATATGCCACATTTTCTTTATCCATTCATCTGCTGAAGGACATCTAGGTTGGTTCCACAGTTTAGCTGTTGTGAATTGTGCTGCAGTAAACATTAATGTGGCTGTGTCTCTGGAGGATGCTGTTTTTAAGTTCTGTGTGTTTAGACTGAGGAGAGGGATAGCTGGGTAAAAAGTTGGTTCCGTTTCCAGTTTTCCAATGGATCTCCATACTGCTTTCCGTATTGACTGTACCAATTTGCAGTCCCACCAGCAATGTATGAATGGACCTTTTTCCCTACATCCTCGCAACACTTATTGTTGTTTGTATTCTTGATAGCTGCCATTCTGACTGGAATGAGATGAAATCTTAGAGTGATTTGCATTTCTCTAATTGCTAGAGATGTTGAACATTTTTTCATATATTTATTGATTAGTTGTATATCCTCTTCTGAGAAGCATCTGTTAAGTCCTTGGCCCATTTATTGATTGGGTTATTTTTTTTGCGGGGGGGAGTTTAGCTTTGTGAGTTCTTTATAGACCCTAGAGATTAGTGCTCTATCTGATGTGTGAGGGGTAAAGATTTGCTCCCAAGATGTAGACTCTTTATTCACCTCACCAATTGTTTCTTTTGCTGAGAAGAAGCTTTTTGGTTTGATCCATTCCATTTATTAATTCTTGATTTTCATTCTTGCACTATAGTAGTCTTGTTAAGGAAGTAGGAGCCTAATCCGATATGATGGATGTTTGGGCCTGCTTTTTCTTCTATTAGGCACAGGGTCTCTGGTTTAATTCTTAGATCCTTTATCCACTTTGAGTTTTGCATCGTAAAAGAGAGGCTTCATTTCATTTTGTGGCATATGGATTTCCAGTTTTCCCAGCACTGTTTGTTGATGAGGCTATCTTTTCTCCAATGTACATTTATGATGCCTTTGTCTAATATAAGATAACTGTAATTATGTGGTTTAGTCTCTGTGTCCTCTTTTATGTACAATTTGTCTACCAGTCTCTTTTGGTGCCAATACCATGCTGATTTTGTTACTATTGCTCTGTAGTATACTTTAAGGTCTGGAATAGTGATGCTATCTGCTTGACTCTTCCTTCTAAGAATTGCTTTAGCTACTCTGGGTCTCTTATTTTTTCAGATGAATTTCATGACTGCTTATTCTATTTCTATGAGGAATGTCATTGGGATTTTGATTGGAATTGCATTAATCTGTGTAATGCTTTTGGTAGTATGGTCAATTTGAAAATATTCATTTTGCATATCTAAGAACAAGAGAGATCTTTCCATCTTCTAAGGTCTTCTTTAATTTCTTTCTTTAGCATTCTGTAGTTAGGTTGATTCCCAAGTATTTTATTTTATTTTATTTTTGATGCTATTGTAAATGGGGTAGTTTCCCCATTTCCCTTTCAGAGAATTTGTCACTGATATTCAGAAATGCCTTTGATTTATGGGTGTTGATTTTGTAACCTGCTACTTTCCTGAATTCATTTACTAGTTCTAGAAGTTTTCTGGTGGAATTTTTTGGGTCTTCTAGGTATAGAATCATATTGCCGGCAAATAGTGCTAATTTGAGTTCTTCTTTTCCTATCTGTATCCCTTTAATTTCTTTTGTCCATCTAATTACTCTGGCCAGCATTTCAAGAACTATGTTAAATAAAAGTGGTGAAAGAGGGCATCCCTGTCTTGTTCCAGTTTTTAGAGGGAATGCTTTCAATTTTTCTCCATTTAGAATGATGTTGGCCTTGGGCATAGCACAGATAGCTTTTATGATGTTGAGATATGTTCCTGTTATCCCTAATTTTTCTAATGTTTTGAACATGAAGGGGTACCGTATTTTGTTGAATGCTTTTTCTGCATCTGTTGAGATGATCATATGGTTCTTATCTTTAAGTCTATTGATGTAATGAATTACATTTATTCATTTCCATACATTGAATCAACCTTGCATCCCTGGGATGAACTCCACTTTTATCATGGTATACTATTGTTTTGATATGTTTTTGTATTTGATTTGCTAGAATTTTGTGGAGAATTTTTGCATCTGTGTTCATTAGAAATATTGGTCTGAAGTTTTCTTTCTTTGATATGTCTTTGCCTGGTTTTGGAATCAGGGTGATATTGTCCTATAGAATGAGTTTGGAAATGCTTCCTCTTTTTCTATATCCTGAAATAATTAAAGAGTGTTGGTATTAGTTCTTCTTTAAAGGTCTTGTGGAACTCCAGCTAGTCCCAGGCTTTTTTTTTTTTTTTTATGGTTAATAGGCTTTTGGTGGCATCTTCTATTGTTTAAAATTTGATCTGTTTAAATTGGATATATCATCCTGATTCGATTTGGGCAAATAATATGACTCTAGAGTTTGTCAATACCTTTGATATTTTCTATTTTATTGGAGTACAAGTTTTCAAAATAATTTCTAATTATCATCTGTATTTCTGTAGTGTCTATTGTGATATTTCCTTTTTCATCACGTATGTTAGTAATTTGACTTTTCTCTCTCCTTGTTTTCATAAGCATGGCTAAGCATTTGTCAATTTTATTTATTTTTTTCAAAGAACCAACTTTTTGTTTTGTCAATTTTTCCAATAGATTCTTTTGTTTCATTTTCATTGATTTCAGCTCTGATTTTGATTATTTCCTATCTTCTACTGCTTTTGGTGTAGATTTATTTTTCTTATCTAGGGCTTTGAGATGTAATGTTAAGTCATTTATTTGTTGACATTTTCTTCTTTTAAGGATTGAACTTCATGAAATGAACTTTCTTTTTAGTACTGCCTTCATTTGCACACAACTTTTCATTTATCTGGTTGCACACGATGTAGCTTCACACCATATATGCAGTCATACATGTACACAGGGTAATCATGTCCCTCATTACACCATCTTTCTTGCCCCATGCACTTTGCCCACCTCTCTCTCTCCTCTCCCCAAATAAAAAAAGTTCTTCATTTGTTCCATCCTCCCATGCCCCCCCCCCAATTAGGGATCAGCATCCACTTATCAGAGAGAACATTCGGCCTTTGGTTTTTTGGGGATTGGCTTACTTCACTTAGCAATATCTTCTCCAACTCCATCCATTTATCTGCAAATACCATGATCTTATTCTCTGTTATTGCTGAGTAATATTCCATTGTGTATATATGCCACTTTTTTTTATCCATTCATCTACTGAAGGGCATCTAGGTTGGTCCCACAGTTTAGCTATTGTGAATTGTGCTGTAGTAAACATTGATGTGGCTGTGTCTCTGTACTGTGTTACTTTTAAGTCCTTTGGGTATAGACCGAGGAAAGGAATAGCTGGGTCAAATGGTGATTCCATTCCCAGTTTTCCAAGGAATCTATATTGCTTTCCAGATTGGCTACACCAATTTGCAATCCTACCAGCAGTGTATGAATGTACCTTTTTCCCCACTTATTGTTGTTTGTCTTCATAATAGCTGCCATTCTGACTGGAGTGAGATGAAATCTTAGAGTAGTTTTGATTTGCATTTCTCTAAATGCTAGAGATGATTAGCATTTTTTCATATATTTGTTCATTGATTGTATATCCTCTTCTGAGAAGTGTCTGTTCAGGTCCTTGGCCCATTTAATGATTGGGTTATTTGTTTTTTTGGTGAGGAAGTAGTTTTTAAATGATGATTGCATACATTTTTCTCCTCTGTGTATACAGATAGGCATTTAAAATTGTTTCAGATTCATCTGTTTTAAATGATCACATGAGATAAAATATGTGAAAGCTTCCTAAAAAACGTAAAAGTACAGTGCAGTGTTCTCATGGCTGTGGTTGTCATTGTGGTCATCATCATCAAAAAACATCACCTTTGAGTCATTGAGTCATCTTTCCCGCTCTGGGGAATTAAATACAAAATAGAAAATATGTTAAGAAGAGAAGTCCACTTTGAAAGAACTTATTCATGCAATGTCTATAATAAGGAAAAACAGAAAACGTTGTAAATATTCAGTAATTGGAAAATGCATTTAAAAAATTATGTTACTTCATTAGATATTACAAAACATGTTAATTGTATCATTGTAGATTTATGAGAATATTTTCATTTAATTGAGAAAGCATTAAAATATATTCACCTTATGGCATTTTTTTATAAAAGTATGTAAGTATAAAGATTGGAAGAGATATATAGAAACATGAGAACAATTGTAGTGAGATGGATTCGTGAATATTTATTTTTATTATTATAACATCTCTTTAAATATCTTTGATCCCTATTTTTTTAATATTCTGTTTTATATATACCTGTGTTCAACAAGTTATGCTCCCATATCAGTTTGCATGGCCTTTAAGGCTCAATTACAATACTTTTTGACATGAAACTGTGAAATAATTATATTTCTTTTTTTTTTTTGCGGTGGCAGGGTTTGAACCCAGGGCCTTGTGCACGCGAGGCAAGCACTCTACCAACTGAGCTATATCCCCAGCCCCCAATATTTCCTTTCTCGTGATTTTAGTGTATCTAGTAATTTTATATTTTGTCAGTTATGTTGTCTTTTTAACCTAGTTTTTAAAATTTTATGCAGTATCTGATCATTTGTTGAATGCTACAATTTCGTGGCTTAATCATTTGGTTATGCTTTTGCAATGATGAATCGAACTAATGATGGATTCATTTTTTTTCAGTAGCCCAGCAGGAGGCTGAAATGTTCAAACGCTACAATGGAACATTTCCATTACCTGGAATACACCAAAGCCAAGATGCTTTATGTACCTGTCCTAAACTGCCTCATCAAGGCTCTTTTCAAATTGATGAATTTGTCCACACTGAAAATTCTTCAACAAAGATGCAGATAGTGAAGCAGAGACTTGAAACTGTCACAGTATGTTTAATTATTATTAAAAACTTAAAACCACTTCTATTGTATTTTATATTGCCTTGCAAACGAATATTAATGAAGTAAGTTAATTTCTTAAATCTAGGTTTTCATATACTTTCATAGTTCCTTTCTGAAATCATTAATTATACTAGACTAACTAAATTTAGGATAATTTGTCATACTGTCTTGACTTGTTATTTCTGTAAATACGAGCCCAAGACCTAGTTGTAAGGAAGGCTTTAAAGAAGAGCATAAGTAGGACTTGACACATATGGTTGTGACTCCATTCCTAGGAAAGGAAGAGAAACGGTAGCCTTCTCAATCCTGCCCAGTAGGATCTCTGAGGGACAAGAGGAAGTTAACAGCCTCTGACCCACAGCCTGTGAATTCTCAGGGTCATACCATAGGACCACTTCTTAGAAAGATGATAGTATTCATACAATCTCTGTCCAGGTGTTCAGATTCCCAAAAAATCTTGCTCCAAATCTCATGTTTCCTTCAGTGGTTCTCAAACTTTAGTGTGTATCGGAAACACTTGATAGTCCTATCAAAGCACAGCTTGCCAGGCTCCACACCTAGAGTTTGTGATTCAACAGATCTGAGATGTCTTATGATTTGTCATTTCTGACAAGTCCCAGGCAATGCTGCTGGTCAGAGGACCATCCGCTGAGACCAACTGGTCTAAATTCACAGTTCCCAACACTTAGAAAGAACATAATAAATAGGTGTTTTAGGCTCTCATCTAAACTGTAAGCTCCCTGAAGGCAGTTCTCTGTATCCCCTAGTCTACATAACTAAAAAATTAAAAACTAAAATAGACTAGGTGATCTAAGGAAAAACTAAATTCCTAAACTTCCCTTTACACAGTGCTATATCTTATTTTGTCTTTAACCACTTTTTTTTCAGTCTTCATTTCAGGGAGATCAGTCTGCACCTTAATTTTCTTTCCAAAACTTTCCCATTCTTTACATTTTTCCCAGCTCTTGACCTTCCTCCATGGTTTCCTATTTTCTAATTGGCGTTCTCCTATCTGATACCATACATTTGTGTACTGAGTACCTGCTAATAGCCTCTGCAAAAAACCACTTTTGCTCTCTACACCTGTGCACTATATTTGTAGAAAGTGTTGACCAAATATATCTTGGACTTCCAAGTTGAGCTCTAACACTTGGAACAAAGAAAGTTTAGTTATTTAAAATATTTATTGATTATCTACTATATTGAAGTCACTCCAGAGAACATAAAAATGTGAAATCCTTGACCTTTATTTACCTCAAGTCTGGTAGGTAGTGACAGGTATTCAAACAACTATTAATTAGAGTCTTTTCACTGTAGTACTCACATTGCCTCTTTTATTGTTGTAGTAGCCTTGTAAGATAGGCATGATGGTGATGGTTACCCTTATTTTTACAGACAGAAAACCAATTTCTGTTCAAAGGATAGATATAAAGTTTTTTAACATAAAATTGGAATATTATGTGCATAATCTCCCTTGCTATTTTTTAAAACATTTCTAACATTATAAAAAGTAGTAGTAGCTAATTGTTTTTCCATGTGTACCTATTGAGCCTCTACTAGTGTTATACTGTGGAGGAATTTTGTATGGAAACTAGTGAATGAGATCACAGAGGCATTAGATAAAGAAGAAGCAGTATCACCCAAACTAATAGAACAGTATCAGTTAATGAAAAAAAAAATCGTTGTACGTCTCGAGAGTAAATTCTCTTTACAGCCCCCAAAACAAGACAGGAACAGCATATTCCATTTCATTTCAGTAGAGCCACAGAATAAGAGTACTGAAATCCACCAGAGATAGGTTTAGGGACTGTACGAAACCCACTGGACAGCCTGAGTTCAAAATGGTAAAATTTATTGATCTCATTTAAGGCCAGAGATGGGCCATTAAAAGGATTATGTGCATTAAAAAAGAAAAGGCAAAGCATATCTTAAAATAATTTGTTCTAATAAACAGAATGTTTTAGGTTTTGTTCTCAATAAAATAGAAGAAATTGGGGTCTCTATTAATGAAGAAATGGAAATACAGTCTGGGATTTTGATGTAAAAGTTATCTGGCTAAGGTAAAAAGAATTTAAAGAAGTTTAAAAGGCAAGGTTCAATTAATTCTACATTGCAAATGGTAAAGGGGAAAATTGACACATAAAAATATCAGATCAGTAGTATAGCCTGGAGAACTAATTTCAGAAACATCCTTAAGAATGCAGAAAAAAAGATAAGTGAAAATAGTTAAGGCTTTACAGCTTAGGCACAGACATAGGTCTGTGGCACCAACCTATACCTACTTTGTTATTCCAGATAAGTAAGCCTAATTTTTCCTCATCTATAAGACGGGAATTCTATTATTTCTTTATTCTTTTTATATTTTGCAAGTTTGGGGGTTGACGGGATCCCCACCTTTTGTCACAATGTCTTTTTTGTTTGTTTCTTGTAATTATTTTTCAATAGACTCAAAATTCCTTTTTTTTTATAGGTTGTTCATCAATTTATAGAAGTCTGTTATTAGAGATAATTGTTTCTTTGTTACTAAAATTGGAGTATTTTCTAATAGATTATAGTTCAGGTTTAGGATGTGATTGTGTGTGTGTGTGTGTGTGTGTGTGTGTGTGTGT